TTCTGGTTCTGTGATGGATATTATTGATATTTTTATAGGGACCTCAAGAATCTGTAGATTGTTCTGGATAATGTGTATATTTTAACAATAGTAATGCTTCCAGACCATGAACATGGGATGTCCTTCCATTTTATATTATTTTCTTCAGTTTCTTTCAGGAATGTTTCATGCTTTTTATTATAAAGATCTTTAACTTCCTTACTTAAATAATTTCCTAGGTATTGCATGTTTATACCTATTTCAAATGAAACTGTTCTCTTCATTTCTTTCTCAGTTATTATAATATAAAACAGTCTTTATGTGTTTTGTTGTTGTTGTTGTTTGATTGTGGGGCCTGAACTCTGGGCCTGGGCGCTGTCCCTCAGCTCTTCAGCTCAAGGCTAGCACTCTACCACTTGAGCCACAGCGCCACTTCCGGCTCTTTTCTTTTTTGCTTATGTGGTGCTGAGGAATCAAACCCAGGGCCTCATGCATGCAAGGCAAGCACTCTACTACTGAGCCACCTTCCCAGCCCTAGTCTTTACGTTTTTACTTTATAAAGTAATGTCACTATAAACAGGTATAGCTTAATTATACTTTCGTAATTTGGATATTTTTATTTTTTTCTCTTATATAATTGTTCTTGCTGACACTTCCTACAGTGAACATAAACATTCTTGTCCTAATACAGATCTCAGAGCAAATGTTGTAAGCTTTTCCTTCTCAGTTTGATGTTGGCTGTGCAGTAGTCTAGCCTTTGTTTTGTGGAAGCATGTTCCTTCTGTTCCTAATTTGTTGAGAGATTCCTTCCTTCTTTCCTTTCTTTTTTATCATGGAGTGATGTTAATTTTTTGAGATTTTTTTTCTGTATCATTGGTATAATTACGTTTATGTCCTTCATTCTCTTTATGTTATGCATTACATTTATGAATTTGTTCATGTCGTTGCATCCCTGTGATAAATCCCCCTTGATCATAAGGTGCAGTCTTTTTGATGTGTTAGTGTATTTGTATTGGTACAATGTTTTTGAGAATTTTATAACTCCTTTCTTCAGGGGTATCAATTTATTTCATTTGTTACTGTGATGGATGACTTTAGTGAATTTTATGTTTTTCAGAAAACCAACTTTAAAAAAATTCTTACTGTTTTTAGTTTCAATTTCATTTGTTTCTCCTCTTAATTTTTTAAATTACTTTTGTCTACTTGTTTGGGATATGTTTTGCTCTTGATTTTTTTTAATATAATGTTTTATTCCTAATATGACCTCCTTTTTGTGTGTGTATGCTAGTCCAGAGGTTTGAACTTATGATCTGGGCCCAGTCCCTTGCTGGTGCTGTACCACATAAGCCACAACTCTGCTTCCAGATATTTTTTCTGGTAGTTAATTGGAAGTAAGAGTCTCAAAAACTTTCATATCTGAGCTGGTTTTGAGCCATGATTTTCAGATTTCAGCCTCCTCACTATCTAGTAGTGCAGGTGTAGAGCCCTTGGTACTCAGTTAAAACTTTCTCTCTGTTTTTTTTTTCCTTCATGTATTTAAGGATGCAATTCAGTTGTTCTGTAAATTACACGCTAATTTATGTTTATTCTACTCTGTGTATGTGTATTATCTTCCAAGTCTTTCAACCTTAATTTCTGATTGCCTCAAGTGAATGAAGGTGTGAAAAGTTTTAAATAACATATATTCTCTATATTATTTATATTTAATTTTGAATGTGTTTTGATATAGTATTTTGGAAAAAATTAAAAACAATGTATGAAGACCTAAAAAAGAAACTACTAGTTTGGCATTCTTTGTAGCTTATTCCTTGCTGGACATTGACAGCTGTCTTCTAATACTAAGTAGAACTGACCTTTTAACTCTCAATGGGACAATCTCTTCTACCAATATCCCTTTATATTATATATATAATCTGTAAGCTGCACTTGTGAGAGTTAAGTTCTTTGCAAATATTATGTCAAGTAATACTTAAAATTCTGCTATTCCCATATGAGGGAAATAACATACAAGAAATATTAATTACCTTGTGTCATACACTAATATGTGATTGAGCCAGAATTTAAACCCAGGCCTTCTGGGTCCAAAACTCATGCTTGTAACCACTGTGCTATATTGCAACTTAGAGGAGACAAGGCATATAAAGTTATTAAACCTTACCTAGCAAGACATCCTTAACCAAAGTTTAATTCAGTGAGGTAGGTGTTATGAGCTCAATTTTCTAGGTGAAGAACTTGGAAAGGTGTAGGAAGTTATATAAGAATCAGTGCCAGGGGGGCTGGGAAGGTGGCTCAATGGTAGAGTGCTTGCCTTGCATGCATGAGGCCCTGGGTTCGATTCCTCAGCACCACATAAGCAAAAAGAAAAAAGCTGGAAGTGGCGCTGTGGCTCAAGTGGTAGAGCGCTAGCCTTGAGCTGAAGAGCTGAGGGACAGCACCCAGGCCCAGAGTTCAGGCCCCATGACCGGACCCCCCCCCAAAAAAAAGAATCAGTGCCAGGATCAAAATCTAAGTCATCCGAGTCTTAGAACCAGTGAGTTTACACATAATACAGCCTTCTTGCAGTTATTCCTTTAATGGCTTGAGTAAAGTTTTAATGTTGGTATACTTTTAATTAATGAGAGAAAAATCTCCATTTAAGAAAATTCCACTTTTACCTGTTGCAACAATGAGAAGTACAAGTTGTCATGTCCAAAACGAGCTTTACAAAGTCGGTGGGGGGGGGGAAGGGGGGAAGGAGAAGGATTGGGATTGAGGGGGAGGGGGGAGGCTGGGAAGGGATGTGAAGGGTAAACAAAGGAGGAGGATGCAATGCTTGCATTATCCTGCCCATGCAATTGTAACCCCTCTGTACAGTATGTTCACAAATAAAACAAAATTAAATTTAAAAAAAAAAGAAAATTCCACTTTTATGCTTGTGAACAGCAAATTTTTATGGCAAACTGAATATAATACCTGAAACCAACTTTTTATTTTGAAAATCTATTTTTAAAAGCAAGAAGCACACATGTTGTGCAGATTATATCAGGAAGGATAGAATTTCATTATTTGGTGTCTATCACAATGTCAACACATATCAAATGTTAGATTCCAATACTCAAAATTGGTTTTCTTTTTTGCCTCTACATACTAGAATAAATACCATGAATACAATGATTTTAATACTGCAAAAAAAAACATAGTTACTTGATCATTTGCATTTTGTTTACTGTAAATTGGAATTTACATTTCACTGAGAATATGACTACTCACAATTATCATACTGGACATTAAATTTGGAAAAACAAAAACCTCTGCATCTTTATAATAAACATACTACTTTCAGATTTGAATTCTTTATGTGCTATGTATCACTTTGATATTTTAATCTCTATACTTTCCCCATGTAAAATTGTAAAGTTTTTATAAAGCTATATGTCTTAATAAAGAAGATCAAATATTTGAATGACATATTTAGTTATACCTTAGGGGGAAAACTAACTAGAATATATTAAAATTAAAATCTTAACAATGTAGAAAGTATCAGAAATGTAAAAAATATGTTTTTTCTGCATAGTCTTAATATTTCTTTCCATTGCTAAACAAACCAGTATTTTATGATGTCAGTCCCTTTTAATGGGTAAATAATCAGATAATAAACTTCACAGAGGACTAACTTTTATATTTTACATGATGTTTTATCTAGCTAAAATAATGTAGCAGAGAATCGTGCAATTAATTTTAAATACCAGAAATATTTGCTAAATACTCCATCAAAAATGCATCTGCAGCTAAAATTTCAAACCTAGGCTTCAGAGTACAATGCAATTAAGGTAAAAACTCTAAGGCATATTAACAGACTTTATTTTTTTGTTTTATAGAGTCAATATTATAGTTTCAGACATTATATTTCCTATTTAAAATATTGTTTTGATGTTTTAAGTAATGAATAGCCTTACTAAAACGCCCATAAAAAATAGCTAGCTTAAAAAACAAAAGGTATAAATATTTAGTGATGAATTTTACTGAAATTATTTAGAGCATTCAAGTATTTCTTTTTGTATTGACTAGTTTTTAAGTTATTGTACATTCTAATCAAAATTCAGAGTGATTTGGGGAGATAAATATTAATTTTAAAAGAGAAACTCTTACTATACGCAATCTATAGGTTAACCACTACACAGAATAGTCTTTATTGGCTGAGTTTTTCTTCTGAAATGATTACTATGATTTTACATCTTAAATTATTTTTCTTACCTTTTTGTTTTCTTTGTTCAAAAATTACCTGAGATGGTATTTTTTTACATTTTTATTTTCTATTCATGAATATAAACATACTTAGGACTTAACCTTCTGAAATGTCAGCAAAATTCAGGTCTGCCAAGAATTTTTAAGAAATTGGAATTTTATTAGCACAGTCTTGGAAGTAATGCTCAGTATTTCTCCCAAGGTATTTTCTTTCTTTGCTGCACTCCACATCCCAGGAAGAATTTTTAATTAGCTATTTAAAAAATAACCAATTTAAGAATTCACAGGAAATTGGGATATTCATCAGTATATATTTACTGTCTGAAGCTAATATAGCTGTGAGGTGTTTTGTTTTTGTTTTGTTTTGTTTTTTTGTTTTGTCCAATTGATCTATTGCGCATGTTCCCTCCCTAGGTTGCAGGACGTGCTTCTATTTGCATAAGGCCCTGGGCAAGGTTCTTTCTTGCATTGATTGGCCTGTCCAAGGCAGCCTGATGTGTTCTTGCATTGATCAGTTTGTCTTTTCTTGGAAGACAGTGTTATACTGAGTTCATTTCAAACATTCTAGGGAGAAGGTAAAACTTTACTGCAGATGTCTCAATTTTATTCAGATGTTCCTTTGAGTATAGGCCCTTTTTGCAAAGATAAGTATTGCTGGGGTTTTTTTTTTTCCTCCTAATTTGGATGTTTCTGCAGTTTGAGTGCACTGTAGACTAGATTATATTTGAAAAGCTATGTTAAAGAAAATTGCCACAGTATATGCCACTTATCTTGTGCTATTTTTGTTTTTCAAACAGTGAATCTCAATTCCAGCTTGAAGCTATTTTCTTTAAAGATGATCTCCTAAACCTAGACATAAACTAAAATATACGGGTGTTTTCAGTAGGTTACCACTTGTCTTAGTTTTAGTGGGATATGCTTTGTTTTATATTTTTAAGGAAATAAGAAATCTTACTTGTTTCACTATGAAACATTGTCTAGAATGCCTTGCCTGGTGATGTTGATTATTATTATCAGTGCTAATGTGAGTCGTATAAATGTGTCAAATATAAGTTGATTTAAGATCTATGAATCAATTATGAGTAGGATTATATATCCATTATGGGTAATATATGTTTCATATCATAACTTTTATAGAAGTACTGCGTTATTTGTTGACAATACAAAACTAAATTTAAAGATTAAGTCTTCAAATCAGTGAGAAATTGAGCAATAAATGTTTTATAGCTTAGTACTCTTTTCTTGGCTGGTTCTTAAATCAACATTTATATTGTCTGCCAAAGAACATATTTGCCTATGCAGTTAATTATCAAGAAAATGCCCAATACCTCCAACTTATTTACCCCACATTTAGTGAGGAACTGGTAAGACAAGTGTAGGGTTCTGTCAGCATGCAGGAAAATCCTTTAAATCAGATTCCTATGTCTTCAGGGCTCCTTTGACTTTATAAGGAGGTTACTTTTGGCAACAATTTAGAAATGTGTCATGATTGAATTTGATTATTGTAATGTTAGTGATTAACCACTGCAATGACAATTCACTTAATGGTTTTAGAAAGCATAGTTAGTAACACCTACTACAAATCAGGATTTTTTTGTGTGTGTATTCTGTTTCATTTTCATTGAACAGAATACTTTCTGTATATTGTTAAAAAAATGGGAATTGAAATCAGCAGGAAAATATGACATTGATTGTTTCATTCAGTAGTGTCACTGGCATCATTTGGTGTATCATAAACCTTATTATACTATTTTATTATACTATAATCATTGTATGTTGTCAAATCTGATGCTAAGATATTAGAAATCCTGTTTCTGTTCTTTACTTAAGAAACACTAGAAATTCATACATCTGGTGAGTTAAATGTGTACATGAGCAATAATTGCATGAAGTTGTTAGAAAATGTCATTTGTTGTTTCAAGGTGTCCTTTAAATCCACAGCATTATGTATATGTATATACATACATATGTATACACACACAAGTTACTTGAAATTACCCAGCCAGTGTCCATAAGCAGAATTACTATTAATGTAAATAACATGTTAGGGAGTGCAAGCTTATATTGAAAAAAATAGATTTCTGAGTGATTACAGCTTCACTGGCATGCCTAAACTTGTTTATAATGTATTATATGTAAATCATAAAATAAAATTATTCATAAAATAATAATGTAAGTATCTTCTGATAATTTAAGATGGTTTGGGGGATTTTGTGAAAATGCCAATAAAAAAGTCATACAGAAGTATTAAAATACTCTGTACAGCATCTTTACAGTAAAATAAAATTTAAAAAGTATTAAAATAGAAAACATCATCAGGTACTTAACAGCTTTTCAAAACTGAATCCAATCTGTGGAAACACAGATATTACATTTAGATTGCAACTTTTGTTCAATGCATCTCAGCTTGGTGTGAGCATAGCTCTGAAATGCAATGGGATAGTGTTTGCACATTTTTACTAACTAAAATGGAATGTACATCATCTTGCATAATTCACTTGTCTCTGGTGGTTAAATTTGCATATCAGAATGAGTGAGTATATATCTTAACCGTCTGCTAGATATAAAATAGTCTCATGAGTTGAAAAGAGTTCTTTTTACCTCAGAAGCTGGAAGAGTCTACATATTTCACAGCAACTCATGATTAAACAAGCTAATTCAGATGCAGCAAAGTGGTTTTCCTTAGCTATGTGGAAGAATGTTGACTGCAGACAACCAACAGGTAGTCTCCTGATGCTACACAAGATATATTGAGAGTCTTTGGGATTGAATCACAAACCCAAACACAAATGACAAGAAACAACTTGAAATGTTATAACTTGAGCTAGGGAGACTTGCTGCCTTACAAGTCCATCTGAATTATGGTATTTCTTCTACTCATACATACCCTATAATCATTTTCTTATGAGGTCCTGAATTGGAGAATTTTAACTTTTCATGGTAAAGGAAGAATTTAGGCATTTTGTAATGATCAAAATGTAGTATCATGCCTGTTTGCTTTCTGCTCAGGTAATACTTATTACTCAGACTAGTAGAACTCCTCCAGACTCCCTCCTCCTCCCATAGGGCTGTAGAGATCTTTGTGGGAAGTATTTTCACTGTGCTCAGATGCTTGTAAAACAGTTCGGGGTAGCTAGTGGACTTTGCTGGGATCTTAGGAAGTAAGATGATGAAATACCTACAAGAAAAAAGTAACAAAAAGAAAAAAGTAACAGTGAAATCCTCTTTTGGGTTCCATATAGAATGAAGAAGCAAAATATTGTCAGAAAACTTTCATGGATTTTCATCTATAGGAACAGTAATTTTTAAATCACACAAGGATATATATGTATATATATGGCTTTCAGTCTTATTTTCATTATTTCTCATGGCAAACTGTCACTTATTGGTGGTTTTAGAAGTTACCAATGTTTCTAATATAGCCAATTTGAGGCTGAGAACTTTAATACTTTGTAGTAAAAATCATTAATCATTATTGAAATGCAGACATTCATTTAAAATCTCAAAACTTGTGTTTCTGACTGGTTACATAAAATTTGGTTTCTTACTAACTAGGAAGTACTTGTTAATTTCTTGTCGTACTGTATATTACTACTTCATATCTCTCATTTTTTAAAACTTATTTGCAGCTTTGATTTGTAATTCACAGTGTAAATGTAACAAGTCTACTTTTTGAAGATAATTAAAAATAAACTTTAGTTTAAAAAGATATAGCTGGTTTTTTGACTGTTGTCCTAAGACATAAACAGTCAAATTAAAATTTTTGAGCATCACAATTATTTGCTTCCTTTCTTGTCCTTTGTCACTCTCAATCTCAAGATAATATACTTCCATTAATGAGCAAATATTAAGTTCTTTTGGTAAATATGAGCATCTCTAAATAAAATTTAAAATCTATTGCTGAAGAAATAACACCAAAAGACTAATATTTGCTTTATGTTGTATTTGTCCTTTTCAATTTTTAACAATGTGAATCATTTCTGAGAAAGTATACTACAGTTTTATCACTTTGAAGAAATGATTGTGGGTTAAGATTTGTTTAAGAACTTACTGTGTTTGGCATTTGATACATAGTGTGATTATATGAAAATTCTCTTAAATAATGTACAATTGTATGAAGGAAGTGATATTTGCTTGTCAGATATTTAGATGCATATATATAAGAAAATACTTTCTTTTGAAGTTATTTAGCTGACATATTTCTTTTTTTTATTTTTAAAGCATTTTATAAGAATTCTTTTATTTAGAACACATGTACAAAAACATTGTATGTGATGAACATTTTTACAGAGGCTTTGGGAAGTTAAAACTGAAAGCTCTTATTTTAACAGTTATCTTTCTTTGGTGTCTGTGTATAGATACTCCCAAGCTCCTTTATCTAAGTTGTTCTAAAAAGAGATCAAATGTAAACATGAACACACTATATGAATTACAAACCTTTTCCTTTCTTCTTCCTTTCAAGGAATGATAAGAGTTCTGAATCATTACTGCTCTCCAGCTGTATACTATATGAGCCAAGCTTCACACTCCTCCTATTCTTACCCATTATCTTTTCCATGCAACAGGCATGTGTCTGTTCGCCTTTCCCTTTCTATGACCAAAAAGAAAAAAAAAAAGCTAGCTCTGGTTATTTAATTGTGCGTCTTCCAGATTATCACATAAAGAAATGTTCTGGATATAAGCCTAAAATCTTCCAAACTTTTTAATCTCCAGAAATGGAAGCTTTTTATAATGATGTTCTATCTTAGCTTTTTGGGAGTTTGATATAGGCTACCTCTGAAATGGGTTTAGAAATCTCACATCATTTTTATACATACATTAATAACAAAAATATCAGCCAATGTATAGTTGAATTAAAGATGAAAACTATAAAGTAATCCTGAAATATATAAAAGACATTCACAGTGTTTTAGCATGTTGGTGAATTGCAGGAAATTATTTATTGTTTGTGCTAATATGATTGTAAGTCTCTACCAAGGTAAAATAACTCCTCATCCGTGTGATTAGACTATGGGAATTTAGCTTTCACTATCACCTATCTAAGCAGGTAGCTGTTATTACTGATATGAGATAATATGTTCATTTCCTGTAGAGCTTTTATAGAGGTCTCACAGTTTTTAATGTACCAAAATATGTATTGACATGATTACTATGAACATAAATATGTTCGCCTGTGTTTTATTTCCTTCTGAACATTGCTTAAATATTCTTATGAGTAAGGTGGAGGTGGTTGTTCTTTTTTTATAATCTAGCATTTTAAATCATATCAATGTTAAACTTTAAGAAAAAAACAGCTCAATATAAGGTATTTTAGATCCTCTTTCTAAATTTAAATAGTTGATGTTTCAGCTTCTGTTGTAACCAGAACTTATTGTAAGGACTTAAATGCCTGTCTATCCTTATTCTTCTGGGTGTTTTGCTTGTGCCTACTAAAGTATTACATTTGTGCCTTCTTCATTTTAAAGGTGGAGTGACTTAAATGCATGCAGGAATCTTTTCATAAAAGCGTAATTATATACGTCTTGCTTTCTTTAATGCAAAACTAGTAGTATATGCATTATTTTATATGGAAAAGTAATTCACAAATGGATTTCTCTATAAACGCATGCTGTAAATAGCATTGAACCCTTACTTGACTTTATACCTTTTTTTATACAGATAAAATTAAGTAAATAGTTTTTGCTGTGAATTTGTTTTTCAATAGTCGTCTCTTCATGACATATGTACTCAGACCTTCTGGCTTTTTTTCTCTCTCCTCTTTGTTTTGAATTGTTGCTTTTGCTTTTGTTTTCTTTTGTGTTTTTCTTTCCTTTTTTTCTCACACTGTGGGATCTATGGCCAAAAGAAAAATGTTATTGACAAATAAATGTTGTAGTTTGTCAAAAAATGTGAATCTGTCTGAACCTTTATGTTACATGTATTACTCTATAAATATATCATTGGTGCCCCAAATCCAATTTTAAGTTTTTTCATATATTAAACTTATCAGAAAACAAGCGTATAGAATATGTAATATTTAATATGTATATTATGTATTGCTATTTGTTCCAAAATAACCATATATTTTAGTTAAATTTAACATTTAGGATCCAACATTCAGAATATGCACAAGTAAAAGTTACATTTTCAAAATCAGTCTCTTAAGACAGGTTAATCATGTTAACCTTATCTTGCCAACAAAAAGAGAAAAATATTTTAAGCACTTTTTACATATTTAGTTACAGTTTTGGATAGATTCGACACTGTCCAACTCCATTCTGACCAGTCCACTTTAGCCATTCAGGACCTTGCTTGCCTGTATTGTGTATTCAGCAGTTCCTATTAGACGTCTTCACACTGAGTGATTCTGCTGGGGTGGCTGACATTCACTTCATGCATGGCCTGCTGTGTTGGGTGGAATTTTTTTCTGAGCTGCCTGGAACATTAAAGACATCTTGGCCATGTCAGTTTGTGCACTGTGTATGTGTGTGTGTGCACGTGGGATGCAATGTGCATCCCATGTGTACATGCACACACACATTCCTGAGCAAATCCATATTAAATAGATGACTGTTTGGTGGGCTTTTTTGTACATGTAAAGTACACATTTTGAATAAAATTAATTTTTAATTTATTACATATACAGTATTAATAATTTAGTTCAGTTAACATTAACAACTTTCTTTTAGTATTTGTCTATGATTATTGACACTAGGGGGCACTGCTTATCCTCAGTTGCATCTTTCTTCAAAAAATGAGTAGAAATACTCAGCTGATTTCTCTGCTCTTCCTTTAATTAACGATTGAATTTAGACAACTATAGGCTGACTCTTTATTATTTGAGTTTTATCTAATGGTGATATATAGTGCTAACAACAGAGGTGGAGCTTTTGGTTCCTACAGATACATATAGTGTCCAGTTTCCTATACAGTAACATTTCTCCCAGTGGAAATGTCATTCTTGGCAAAAGCAGAAGGGCAAGTTTGCCCAGTGATGAGGTTTATATCCCTTGCCAGCTGTGCTTCTAGCAAGCAAGTATGTTGAACAGCTTTAGAAATCAAGTGAGAGAAAGCCTTCAAGAGTTAGTGTGATTCATTTATATAAAGGTCAAGGAAAT